TCTCCCTCTGACCCTCCTCCCTCTCATGCTCTCTGTCTCTCATTCTCTCTCTCTCAAATAAATAAATAAATAAATAAATAAATAAATAAATAAATAATAAATAAATAAATAAATAAAAGAAAATGCGGGTTATGGGCCCCACCCAGACCCAGGTGGAGCATGCCTCTGCTGCTGAGTGCCACCAGGATCCCCACGCACACCCCGGCCTTGATGCAGTAATGAATTAATGTCACATCTGCTCCAAAGAGAAGCCCACTCTTAGGAACGTGCACTCCAGAGAATAAAGGCAGAGCTACTCAAACTTCTCCCCTACAACAGTTCCCACCAAGGGTACGGCTGGCCCCAAGCTACTAACAGACTTGAAATTCCTGTATGCCTTCTGTTTAATTCCAAAAATTCATGCAAATTTTTGCCTTTTCAAACACACAATATTTTGAATTTACTTTTAAGCAAAAATAATGAGCTTCTTCCCCCCAAACGTTCAGATTGATCCATGTGTTATTTTGTGGCTTATCTTCACTTCCTAGTTCGTGGCCACATACCCTCATCCAAAAGATGGGCCCCCAAAACCAGCTCACGCATGGGCTAGCCCGCAGGGTCTGGGGGGAGCACAGGGATGGCCACAGGGAGGGACAGCCACATGGACAGCCCAGCAGCATCATATCTAACCTGGGGGGAAGGAACTGTAACTCTATACTCCACAGGTTCCTTCCTCCCCAGCCGCTGCCACAGAATCATTGTCCAGACGTACAGGTGGGAGGGAGCAACCCAGACTCTCCGATCTGGGGATCTGATGAGCAGTCACCGCGTCAACAGTGGGCTCTATAGGATTGCGGGAGCCTTTTGACCCCGCCATGATGTGGGCGGATTACGGAATAAACCTCCGCGTGCAGGGCCAGAGCTGGAGGAGGCCCTGCCATACGGTGGTGCCACGGCCACCGGGACTTAAAGGTGACAGTCCGCTATCTGAAATATTCACCACATCACCTACTCCCTAACTTTGCCACACGGCAAAGCACCTACACTATTTATGCCCTAAACCTCGTCTCCGAGGCCTTTCCCATCCCCAGTCCCTCCCGCCAGTGCAGATTAAACAACCGCCATGTGCTGCCATCTGGTGGTCACAGAAGCAAGCACACCTGTAAAATTCTGTCCGAGCCTAAATTAAGAGGATCCAGTTCCCTTTTACAGAAGCTGCTGGATCCCCAACTGCTGTTTGTTGTGTAACCCAATGGACTCAGAAACCAACAGAACCTACCAAGACAGACGCCGGGAAATGTTAATAATAATGAAAATTAGAACAACAGCATTAATAATAGCTATACTGTATCACTAACTTATATCCACTTACTTATCTATAAAACAGTGGTTCACGCCTTAAAGGATTGTTGCAAAGTTAAAATGAATGAGTACACGAAAGTTCCTAGAACAGGGGCGCCCGGGGGGCTCAGTCAGTTGGGTGTCTGCCTTCGGCTCGGGTCATGATCCCAGGGTCCTGGAATCGAGCCCACATCGGGCTCCCGGCTCAGCTGGGAGTCTGCTTCTCCCTTTCCCTCTGCCCCTCTCCCTTCTCATGCACGCTCGCTCTCTCTCTCTCTGAAATAAATAAATAAAATCTAAAAAAAAAAAAGTTCCTAAAACATTACTTGACGCATAGTAAACACTGAAACGTTAACGACCTATCGTAAGTATTAATAAGTGCTGGCAATATGCCAGACACTATAGTAAATGCCTTACAGACTTCTAACTCATTTAATTTGCAAAACGATCCCGGCAAGCTGGAACACTTTCATTCCCATGTTGCAGATTTGTCCGCCGAAGCTTGAAGAAGCTGAGAAATCTGCCTCGAGGTCACAAAGCTAGTAAGTGTCGGAGGGAGAATTGAAACCGGCACCTCGGAGCCTGGATTGCTCCTTTATCCACCAGGCTGAAATGCCCGTGAGCTGTGCTGAGTCTTCCCAAACGTTTGTCTAAACCCCATCCCACCCCACACACATTCAAGACGAGAAGTGCTCTCAGGGAGCGCCCGGACGCCATTGTTTCCCCAGACCCTGGTCCAGTGCCTGGTACACGCTAGGGGTTCTTTGGAGAGCCGTGGAATCAGCGGGGACACCGTGTAATGGCTGTGACCATTCACGAAACATCTGTCTTAAGGACAGCTCACCAGCGACCACATCAGAAAAGAAAAAATGGTGTCAGATTTTGAGTAGGAGGAAGGGCCATAGAAATGTTTTTAAGATCCATCAGAGAGATTGCGATTTGCCAGTCTCGGAACCGCAAGGAGAGAAAATCGGAGTGACACTCTCGCAGTTGGAAAAGTCTTGTTTTTCCACATTTAACACAGACAGCAAGGATCCTGTGGCCCCAGCCGCGGTGAAGTTACGGGACCAGGACCTGGCTTGTTCCTCCGAGTTCATGCAATGGAGGCAGTGCAGGAGCAGTGGGACACCCTCCTCGGGTGAACGCCCTGGCAAGGACAGCCTTGGGAAAGACCAAGGAGGCAGCCCTTTAAATAATATGATTTGAGTGGGCCCCAGTGCAGCCTTCCATCAAGAAATACCCATTTCAACCCTGACATTTCATCCTCAGAGACTGACTGATTCCTTGGCTCCTGAGAACTCAACCTCCAGCCCAGTAGCCCGCGCCTCCCCCTCCCCCGTTCTCGCAGGGTGGTCCCCGAGATCTGAGTCCTCACCCCTCCTAGGGGCTTTGCTGTTACACGCCCTCTCTCCCCCGGGGACTCCCTGGAAAGAGGCTGAGGAGACTTCTGCCAAAGAGCCTCACGCATGAGGGAATGAGCCAGAAAACTCGGGGCCTGAGGGAGGACAAGGAGGGGAAGCTTTTTGTATTTGGTCAGGATCTTGGGCTGGGGCGAGTGTGGACCCGGGACCCAAACACACCTCAGCGGTGTATTGGCCATGGTGTAGTTTACAAGCCATTGCGAGAAACCGCGCCCGCACCAGCGTCCTACTGGTGCCTGCCCAGCCTCAGTATTCAAGGGGACAACCGTGTGGAAACGAGGTGGAGGAGGGGGTCATGAGGGAAGTCCCCTTTCTTCACTGAGGCACCTTTTTAGGTTATCAGATTTGGAGGAGAGCTTTGAGGTCAGGGACTCCTTTTGCAGGTAAAGAAACTGAGGAATCGAGAGACCACAGAGTTTCCCACGTCTGCACTTGGTGAGGGAGCTGTTGCTAACAGGTAACTTGGCCGGGCTGGTTCCCCCCAGACACGGTATAACACTTCGAGTTTGAGGCACAAAACTCCCCCCTGATAGTTAGGACTGTCATTTCAACCGTTGTTCTTCCCAAAATATTTCACAAAACACAAGTTTTGTTGGTTGTTAATAAGTCTTTTATGGGGGAAAAATTCTGTGGTCAAATAATTTGGGTAAATACTGATGTCAGCAAAGTGAAATAGTTCTTTTTATAATCACGAATGTGTTCATCTTTAATCTTTTTTTTTAAGATTTTATTTATTTATTTTTAAAGATTTTATTTATTTATTTCAGAGAGAGAGAGAGAACAAGCAGGTGGAGGGGCAGAGGGAGAAGCAGACTCCCCGCCGAGCAGGGAGCCTGATGCGGGACTCGATCCTGGGACTCCAGGATCATGACCTGAGCCGAAGGCAGTCGCTTAACCAACTGAGCCACCCAGGCGCCCTAAGATTTTATTTATTTGAGAGAGAGAGAGAGAGAATGAGCAGGGAAAGAGAAAGAGGGAGAGGGAGAAGCAGGCTCCCCGCTGAGCAGGGAGCCCGACGTGGGGCTCGATCCCAGGACCCCGGGATCATAACCTGAGCCGAAGGCAGACGCTTAACGACTGAGCCACCCAGGTGCCTTCATCTTTAACCTTTAATCTCTACTGTTCCCAAACCTATCTGACGAGGGACCGCTTTCTGAGAGGAAAAACCTACAAACACCTCCCTGCACATAAATATCCCATCAAACCCAGTTCTGGGTGATGCTAACACATACCGTAGCACATCAACTATTGAAGATTTTATTTATTTATTTATTTGAGAGAGAGTGGGAGAGAGAATCTCAAGCAGACTCCACACTGCAGGCAGAGCCTAACTCAAGGTTTGATCTCACAACCCTGAGATCATGACCTGAGCCGAAACCAAGAGCCGGACGCTTAACGGACTCAGCGGCCCAGGCGCCCCGCACATCAACTATTGAGGATGCATAAAATAGACGCTGATAATAAAGGTCCTCATATAGTCTTTCAGGTTCTCCAGAATCACCCAAGCTTAGCCTCTTCAGGAGAAAAGAAACACACCAAGAGTTTTCGAAGGCTGTCCAGAAAGGAGGAAATGGATTAAGTGGTCTTAGAATTTAGCTTCTTGTCCCTTTTCTGTTGTGAATTCAGCACAGTCAGTGAAGTTGGGCAGGCCATCTCATATCTATCCTATAAAGCACCTAGCAATTTCTTCAGCACCTGGCAATTATCATCCTTCATTCCTCTTGAGCCCAGGAGCTCAGTACCCAGAAACCACTCACTAAATATTTGTCAACTTCACTTGCTGCCCAGGTTACATGAAATCCCAGCTGTTTTGTAAACACTGGCGAGTTGGTTTTTCAAAACGGAGCTGGAAATTTAAGCGTTTTATTTTGTGTCTCTCTCCCAAGCATTCCAGCTTCAGTCAACTCAGACCACTTCCCCGCTGCATCGTCTACGGCTCAAGGGCTAGAACGCTCGGCGCCCAATGCCCTTGACCTGGGGAATGGCCCAAGGGAGGGTTTGCCCACCCATCTCTCTCAGCTCCTGTGCTTGGCTCTTTGTTTTGGGCCACTGGGTAGTCTGATCACGGGAAGAGGCAGGCCCTCTGTCGGAATAACCTAGAAAATCTCCTCCTCATCCTTAATTCACTCACAGCTCTCACTCACCCGGCATGCCTTCGTTTGAATAGCAAGTGCGAAGGGCCGCGTGTGAGCTGGATGCTGCCCGTTGCCTGCGAGGAGCTGGGGATGGAAGGGGAAGCAGACCGCGGAGGACACCAAAGCACTCGTCCCCTCGAAGATGGCAGCGAAGGACAGGAGCCGTACCTTCTTGGCCTGTGGCGCTCCGGTGCCTAGGACTGGCTATTGAGGAAAGGTCTTCAGGACGTACTCAGGATAACTAAATCCAGAAAAAACTGGTGGGCTTGGGGAGCTCCCTTCCAAAACCTTATCCCCTGTGCTTCCTTAGCGGGAGTATCTTAATATCAGCGGTTTCCCGTCGGTGGTCCGTCCTAGTCCAGGGATACGCAGAACAAGAGCTGACATTAGGTTGGTGCCTTTTTTTTTTAATTTCCCACTTTTTTTTTCTTTTAACTTTTCATTTTGACATTACATCAGGTTTACTGAAAAGCTGTCAGAAAAGTACAAAAATCTTCATATACCCTCCACTCACAGTCCCCCAAAGTTAACATTTACCACATTTGCTTTATCCTCTCTCTCTCTCTACACATGCACACACGCACACAAATTTTTTTCTAAATCATTTTAATAAATTACAGATACCATGCCCTTTCCTCCGTAATACTTCCCTGTGTGTTTCCTAAGAACAAGGACGTTCTCTTATATACCCCAGTGCATTGATCAAAATCAGGCAATTAACATTGACTTAATACGGTTACCTAATCAATAGGCCTTACTCAGATTTCAACAATTGTGTCAATAATGACCTTTTAGCAAAAAGCGCATGCATTTCATTTGGCCATCATAGCTCCTTAGTCTTCTTTAATCCGGAATGGCTCCTCGCTCTTTGTTTTTCGCACTAGTACGTTTTTTTTCAAGAGTACAGGCCATCTGTTTTGCAGGATACCCCTCCATTTGGGCTTCACAGACGTTGCTTCACTCTTCCACCCAGGTTACGTTGTTTTGGCAGGAAAACCAGAGAAGTGAGGCTGAGTTCTCTGGGCATCCCATCGGGGGCACCTGGAGCTGGTTAGTCTCGCCGAGTGCAGGCAGTGTTCCCTTTGGTTATCGGATGCAGGTGCCCTGTGTCCGGTGTCTCCACTGCCCAGATACTGTTGGAACCTTAAGCGTGTGCTGGGGAGATGCTTGGAGACTAACCATTCTGTTCTCCTCAGACTCTTGCCCACTAGTCTCAGCATCCCCTGATGATTCTTGCTTGAATCAGTTACTGTTATGATGGTGATCCTTCTGGTCCCATGATTCCTTGTGTGTGTGTGTGTGTGTGTGTGTGTGTGTGTGTGTTAGCTGGCTTCCTACCTGTAAGGCAGAACTTTCCCTTTTTAAATTTCCATCAGGGTGGATTCACAGGTCCTCGTTTTATGCAGTGGGTTATAATCCTTTGTATCAGTAGTATATATATTTTGATGCTCTAATTGTCCCAGATTTGGCCAGTAGAAACTTCACGAGCTGGCTGGTTCCTGTTCTTTGCATCTGTCACTCTTTAGGACCGTCACTATTCAAAGGCAGCCGTTGGCAACTGGGTTGAGCCTTTTCCTGTATCTCTTGACTTGCAGATGAATACTCAGCGTCTCTGCCTGGTTAGAAAACTGACTCTCCGTGGTCTTCCCGTCTCCCCACTCCCCCCAACCGCCCCCTCCCGCTGTGGAACAGGATTTTCCAGCAAGGAGACTTGACTAGTAACTGACGGAGTGTTAGCATGTCCATCCTCAAACACAGGACTGTTTAACTTCAACACAAAACACAGGGCAGAGTCAACCCCCAACATAGGACTCCAGGAGTGGCCAGTCACCTGTGGTGGGTGGACATCCCATCCTAATGGTATTTGCTTTTCCCCTGTGCAACAAGCTGATGGTTGCAAAGGATTTGCCCTTTGCTTCTCTGTTGCTTTTTTATATTCCAAAGAGAAAGCAAATTCCGATTCTGCTAAGTAATGAAAGGCCCCTGACAACTGAGTTCTCGCCTTCAAGCTAGCCCTTGTCAAGGGAGGTTGGGGGGGCGCTGAGAGAAAGCAGGTAGACTGCCTATTTTGAACTCAGTTTTATTTCAGACGAGCATGTATTCTGCCCCCCGCCCCGCCCCTCGCCCCCCATTTCCATGTGTCACACCAGGCAAGGAATATTCCCTTTTCGATCCTGGACATGGGAGAGCTCCTCGCTCAAAGCAAGATGTGGGTGCGGCAAGGACATAGGAAAAGAGAAATCAATTGGATTTGTTACTAGGAATCTTAACAGAAAGAAGACAGTTGTAGATAGGGGCAAGCAGGGGTTGGGTGTAAATACACTAGTCCCCACCCTTTCCGTCAGTGGTCACACAGCCTTGGACGCGGGAGTTGCCTCAGTGAGGGAAGGAATGCTACCGGGGAGGGAGAGCCCTGGGCAGGTGAGAGAAGGCTGAGCCCTGACCAGGAAGAGGCTGTGTCCGCGGGCCGGAGAGGCTCGGAGCATGGCCCTCAGGTAGGAAACCAGGTCCGGAGGAAACCCATGTGGTGTGCCCCAAAGGCCAGCCGTCGGGGGAGAAGCCAAGCTAGAAACCTGTTCTTGAAAGGGGAAAGCCATCAAAACATCCTTCACATTCTGTGGCTTTGGAAGAAAAATAGATCCTGTGGTTTTCCTGGGGGAGGAGGAAGGGCACCTCAAAGCCCCAGGTGGCTTGTAAATTCTTAAACAAGGACGAGGTGGCTCTCGAGCTGGCCTCTTCAATCTCAGCAGTGTTGCATTTCAGTGCCCGTGGCCCCCAGGCCCCAGCCCCAGCCCCAGCCCCAGAGGGTGGGGCCGGCAGCCGGGCCAGGCTTCCCCACGGTTGACCTTGGTCAGCCTGAGACCTGATCACCCAAGGTGTGGCTCAAGGCCTGCCCCTTGCTCACCTCCTCCCTTCTTTGCTCTCTCTCCCTTCCCTCCTTCCTTCCTGAAAACCTTCCCCTCCTGCACCTTTTGAGCTCCCCATCCCCAAATTGACCTTCCTGATATTTTTACAACGATTAATATTTTACGATGGCTTCAATGACATGATGATGACCCACAGTCTGCCCTCTCTCAAAAACTTCTAAGCCTGGTTTCTCCTTTTTTTTTTTTTGACTTTTTTTTTTCTTTTTTGCCACCTATCCTCCTGACTGATTGTGTTTTTAAACGGAGTCCAAGATAAATAAAAGTACTGCAAGTAGGCAGAGGGGGGCAGAGTTTTAGAGCAGGGTGGGGGAGCGGGGAGAAAGGGGGGAGCAGGGCTGATGGAGGGGAGGAGGTACATGTGGTATTTGTTATCTATCCTGTTTGTCCAGCTGATTTATGAATTATTAGCAGAAAATAGGCATAAGTGGAAGCAGAGGCTGGGAACAAAATTCCAGGTTCTGGAAGCGGGGTCATTTAATTGAGAGGGCTTTGAAGAAGGAAATGCTTGTACACACAAACTACTGGCTAAGCTCCCAATGATCTCTCCCTCCGAGGAACTTCTGTGGCACTTGGGGCTT